TGTGTGTGTGTGTGTGTGTGTGTGTGTGTGTGTGTGTGTGTGTGTGTGTGTGTGTGTGTGTGTGTGTGGTGTGTGTGTGTGTGTGTGTGTGTGTGTGTGTGTGTGTGTGTGTGTGTGTGTGTGTGGTGTGTGTGTGTGTGTGTGTGTGTGTGTGTGTGTGTGTGTGTGTGTGTGTGTGTGTGTGTGGAGATATTTGTGTTTGAACTCATGTTGCCAGACGTTTTGTTTTCTCAATAAAAGTGTCTGACTGAATATTTAACATTTATTTTTTGCTGTTTCATTTCACACAGATACACATTGTTATTTATGAATCACAATACTTAAAGAAAAAAGTTGAAATGATTAAATTAAAGTTTATTTAAACAGGTTGGTGTTTTACCATTGAAACTTTAATGTTTAGAAATAAAGATCCCCCCCGCCTGAATCGGCTCCATTGGAATAGTTTTTTTATTTCCAGAACATAGTGACATCACTTTGGATCACTCGCGCTCCTATTGGCTAGCGCTCCTATTGGCTAGCGCTCCAACACATTGTACGTGATATACTGTATGTATATATATATTAAAAACAACATATTTTATTTTTATTTAACCAGATAAAAAGCATTGAGATAAAATCTCATTTACAATGCTGACCCGGCCAAGACTAAAAGGTATTTCAGTCACTCTGTCAGAAGACATGAGTAAACCTGTTTTATAATATAATAAAGTATTTAACTGACAGGTATCACATCTTCATTACTGACATTCACTAGATGGTCTTTCATATGAAGTTTCTGTCTCTCTGTAAATATGCTAATGAGGCATTATGGGATGCTAATGAGGCATTATGGGATGCTAACTGTTGGGAGATTCAAAGAGTCAAGTCTCTATCATCATGTAGCAGCTACAGCTCCTCCAACAGAGCAACGTGAATATATATAGGACATAAAACACATAAAATAGATCAAATAGATGAGATGAGTTCAGGAGAAGTCTGCCGACTCAAACAGACAGAAGTCCTGTTATTGAGATAAACATCGTGCAGAATAACGAGCGTTTTCCTATCGTTTCTCATCGATGTGACGAAACTGCTTCTGTTTTCTGTTTCTGCCGGTCGCCATGACGACCAGCGGCTGTTCAAACAGACAGGAAGTTGTTTCAGACTGTGAGAACAAGCCGTGTGTGTGTGTGTGTGTGTGTGTGTGTGTGTGTGTGTGTGTGTGTGTGTCTGAGTCTGTGTGTGTGTGTGTGTGTGTGTGTGTGTGTGTGTGATGGACAGGTGAATAATGGATAGAGGTCATTAAATCCTCGTCCTTCAGCTCCGGTTGACCCTGTCCTCCTCCGTCTCTCAGAGAAACCCTGAGGCATGCTGGGAAACGGACGCAGCTACCTGAGTTTCCTCGAATATCCAAAGTAAACACAACCCCCTCTCCTCTCGAGAGTTTAAAACGTTTACATCCAACGCTCAGAAATCTGGGCCTAACGTCTGAACATGAAATACTTCTGTCTTTATGCTAAGCTAGCTGTTTTCTGTCTTTACACTGAGGACCAGCTTCTCTCACTGCAGTGGACGTAGACCCAGAGGGAGCAGCCCTGAAATAATGAAAAATGAAAGTTTTTACACATTGTACAGAATATAACTAATATATTTAATTGCATAAAACTACAACAATGTGGATATAGCTGGTTGCTAAAAGTAACCTAAGATGTTACTTTTTTCAGTCTGTATGCTAAGCTAAACTATAGCTGTTTCCAGTCTGTATGCTAAGCTAAACTATATCTGTTTCCAGTCTGTATGCTAAGCTAAACTATAGCTGTTTCCAGTCTGTATGCTAAGCTAAACTATATCTGTTTCCAGTCTGTATGCTAAGCTAAACTATAGCTGTTTCCAGTCTGTATGCTAAGCTAAACTATATCTGTTTCCAGTCTGTATGCTAAGCTAAACTATAGCTGTTTCCAGTCTGTATGCTAAGCTAAACTATATCTGTTTCCAGTCTGTATGCTAAGCTAAACTATAGCTGTTTCCAGTCTGTATGCTAAGCTAAACTATATCTGTTTCCAGTCTGTATGCTAAGCTAAACTATAGCTGTTTCCAGTCTGTATGCTAAGCTAAACTATATCTGTTTCCAGTCTGTATGCTAAGCTAAACTATAGCTGTTTCCAGTCTGTATGCTAAGCTAAACTATAGCTGTTTCCAGTCTGTATGCTAAGCTAAACTATATCTGTTTCCAGTCTGTATGCTAAGCTAAACTATAGCTGTTTCCAGTCTGTATGCTAAGCTAAACTATATCTGTTTCCAGTCTGTATGCTAAGCTAAACTATAGCTGTTTCCAGTCTGTATGCTAAGCTAAACTATATCTGTTTCCAGTCTGTATGCTAAGCTAAACTATAGCTGTTTCCAGTCTGTATGCTAAGCTAAACTATATCTGTTTCCAGTCTGTATGCTAAGCTAAACTATAGCTGTTTCCAGGTCTGTATGCTAAGCTAAACTATATCTGTTTCCAGTCTGTATGCTAAGCTAAACTATAGCTGTTTCCAGTCTGTATGCTAAGCTAAACTATAGCTGTTTCCAGTCTGTATGCTAAGCTAAACTATATCTGTTTCCAGTCTGTATGCTAAGCTAAACTATAGCTGTTTCCAGTCTGTATGCTAAGCTAAACTATATCTGTTTCCAGTCTGTATGCTAAGCTAAACTATAGCTGTTTCCAGTCTGTATGCTAAGCTAAACTATATCTGTTTCCAGTCTGTATGCTAAGCTAAACTATAGCTGTTTCCAGTCTGTATGCTAAGCTAAACTATATCTGTTTCCAGTCTGTATGCTAAGCTAAACTATAGCTGTTTCCAGTCTGTATGCTAAGCTAAACTATATCTGTTTCCAGTCTGTATGCTAAGCTAAACTATAGCTGTTTCCAGTCTGTATGCTAAGCTAAACTATATCTGTTTCCAGTCTGTATGCTAAGCTAAACTATAGCTGTTTCCAGTCTGTATGCTAAGCTAAACTATATCTGTTTCCAGTCTGTATGCTAAGCTAAACTATAGCTGTTTCCAGTCTGTATGCTAAGCTAAACTATATCTGTTTCCAGTCTGTATGCTAAGCTAAACTATAGCTGTTTCCAGTCTGTATGCTAAGCTAAACTATATCTGTTTCCAGTCTGTATGCTAAGCTAAACTATAGCTGTTTCCAGTCTGTATGCTAAGCTAAACTATATCTGTTTCCAGTCTGTATGCTAAGCTAAACTATAGCTGTTTCCAGTCTGTATGCTAAGCTAAACTATATCTGTTTCCAGTCTGTATGCTAAGCTAAACTATAGCTGTTTCCAGTCTGTATGCTAAGCTAAACTATATCTGTTTCCAGTCTGTATGCTAAGCTAAACTATAGCTGTTTCCAGTCTGTATGCTAAGCTAAACTATAGCTGTTTCCAGTCTGTATGCTAAGATAAACTATAGCTGTTTCCAGTCTGTATGCTAAGCTAAACTATAGCTGTTTCCAGTCTGTATGCTAAGCTAAACTATAGCTGTTTCCAGTCTGTATGCTAAGATAAACTATATCTGTTTCCAGTCTGTATGCTAAGCTAAACTATAGCTGTTTCCAGTCTGTATGCTAAGCTAAACTATATCTGTTTCCAGTCTGTATGCTAAGCTAAACTATATCTGTTTCCAGAGCTGAATCAGGAAGAACCAGATCTGCATCAGGCTGTAGCCCGGAACTGGCTCTGGAACCGGTTTGGTGGAAAAGGGGCATGTGAGGTTGACCAATCAACCTCACATGCGTTAATGTGACGCATGTGAGGTTGAAGGGTCTGATCTGGGTCTGAAGGGTCTGAAGGGTCTGATCTGGGTCTGAAGGGTCTGAAGGATCTGGGTCTGAAGGGTCTGAAGGGTCTGATCTGGGTCTGATCTGGGTTTGAAGGGTCTGAAGGATCTGGGTCTGAAGGGTCTGAAGGGTCTGAAGGGTCTGATCTGGGTTTGAAGGGTCTGAAGGATCTGGGTCTGAAGGGTCTGATCTGGGTCTGATCTGGGTCTGAAGGATCTGATCTGGGTCTGATCTGGGTCTGAAGGATCTGAAGGATCTGAAGGATCTGGGTCTGAAGGGTCTGAAGGGTCTGATCTGGGTCTGAAGGGTCTTCAGGGTCTGAAGGGTCTGATCTGGGTCTGAAGGGCCTGAAGGGTCTGAAGGGTCTGCAGGGTCTGAAGGGTCTGATCTGGGTCTGAAGGGTCTGCAGGGTCTGAAGGGTCTGATCTGGGTCTGAAGGGTCTGCAGGGTCTGATCTGGGTCTGAAGGGTCTGAAGGGTCTGATCTGGGTCTGAAGGGTCTGCAGGGTCTGCAGGGTCTGATCTGGGTCTGAAGGGTCTGCAGGGTCTGAAGGGTCTGATCTGGGTCTGAAGGGTCTGCAGGGTCTGCAGGGTCTGCAGGGTCTGAAGGGTCTGCAGGGTCTGCAGGGTCTGATCTGGGTCTGAAGGGTCTGCAGGGTCTGATCTGGGTCTGAAGGGTCTGCAGGGTCTGCAGCTCTGAGTGTTTGCACAGATGTCGGGTCACATCTGTCCTGCAGAATATCAGCTGGAGCCACAAACAGACAGAACATGGAGACAAAGAAGTGCAGAGACCTCTGTTTCAAAGGACAGAGATGTATTGCTCAGTGTTCACACACTTTCATTCACATTGACTTTCATTCACATTGACTTTCATTCACATTGACTTTCATTCACATTGACTTTCATTCACATTGACTCAACTATCTTGTGTTCTTAGTTTAACTGAATTCCCTTTGACTTTTTATGAAAATCCAGCTTTGAACTAATAACCCTATAAACTCAAAACAGATACTTGGAATACTTCAAACTCTCTAGAAAACATCACATTACTTTAATGACTTTAACTCAAGCATATAAAGATATTTACTTGATCTGAATACAAAAGAAAGAGTTTATAGAAGTCATTTCAGCTGGAGCTAAGGGGTTAAACTTCTGCTCTGTAAATGGACACCACACACACACACACACACACACACACACACACAC